ACAGATATAGAAGCCCCAATAATTACCAATTACTCCTCAGTCTCAGGGTTTCTTTCTCATCGGTATGTCCTAATATACCCCCAAAGCCATATTCTACTGAGGCCCCTACAGCAGAGCTTTTTCAAAGTGACTGATGTTGCTGTCCAGCTCCAGCCTTACTTCCCTGATCCCTGTACCCTAGAATGGCCCTAGAAGTGTCTTTGGGTTTAGGCTTTAGGGTTCGGGGGCTATCAAAGCCATGGCCCCCATGTGCCGCGCCTTGGCACCCTGTGCGGATTCCTAGCAAATGCCAAAGGCGAGCTTTTCATCTCGGCCGCGCAGTAGTCAACGCAGTCCACAGAGTCATCGTAGAAGTAGGGGTATCCGCTGTAACAGAAAGACGTCCAACTAGTAGCCGCAGCACAAGCCACCTTTCTTCGGGTAGCTGTCGTCGTCCTTGTCGCACCAGTAATACATGTACTGAAAACCACCACTCTGCTTAGTGAAGCGGTAGTTTGCATGTCAGGAAGTTTCAGCCACCAGTAACTCGTTAAGTCAGCCTTAACGTCGAACGAAGACATTTCGCCTGTGCAATGCAGAGCAGTCTTAAGTTTGAATCAGGGGGGCTTGAACAATTTGTCACCATAATTTGAGTCATCATGTTCCCCTATCATACTATAGTATACCCCAAAACCTTATTCTAGTCATTAAAGCCCTTGTTGTATCATGGACGCCTTCTAGGAACCCGTATGGTTCGCCTTACCGTCCGCTTGCAGAAAGCTGCAGCCCGCAATCAGTTCATGGCCACACTTGTGAGCATCAGGACTTTTAGGGGTTTTGGGTTTAGGGCGAAAAAAAAAGAGTTTAGGATTTAGGGCTTAGGCTTTAGGGTTCAGGGGTTTAGTTGTTTAGGGTTTAGGGTTATGCTCACACTTCGGAGTATGAGTACAGTACCTCTGTGCTCGAAGCCTCATTCGGCCAAGATGTGACCAAATACATTCCAAACGCCGAAACACCCTGCGCAGGACACCTACAAAGAGTACCGTAAGTGAGACATCCTGAGCCCCGAACAACCCTAAACCCCAAGCCCTAAACCCGAAGCCCTAAGCCCTAAACCCTAAGCCCTAAGCCCTAAGGGGAGATGGCATGAATGCATCAGCCGACCTGCCGCCCTTTCGTGTCAAGACATGTCGCCAGGACCTGCCATGGCGTAGGATTTCAGATGCTAGATTCTACTTTAGGGCTTTAGGGTTTTAGGGTTTAGGGTCCCTAAAGTCTCCATTGTAGTTGCTGTATTGGGTTTCCTTATAGAATCCTAAATGCATAGTTTGGGAAACCAAGGAAAGGAACTACAATGGATATTAAGGGTAGATTTGGGAGCTGGGCTGGAGACTTCGGGATCCCTGATGCAAGTTTTAAGCTCTAGGAATGTTGGATTTAAGCTTGGCGTTTGCACATGTTTCGAGCCGAGTCATGCACACCCATCCGAGATTTCTTTAGTGGGAAGTTGTGTGATACTGAAGCCGATGTGCATCCAATTCAAGGGGAGTGTTTCGACAGCTATACACAGAGAGGCGGACGGCTAGATGGAACTCGAGACAGCTAACACCTGGAAGGCCATGAATTTTCAGAGTTTCTTGTGTTAGGCTTAGGGCTGCTGCCGCTTCGCGCGCTGCGGAAGTGCGCCGAACCTCCAGCACCTTTTCTGAAAAGCCGGGAGTTCCAGAATGACTTGAATAGCTTCTAGGGGGTTCCTTGAAGAAGTAGGACAGGGTTCCTAAAAGGGGTTACTGTCAAAGGTTTCTTTGACTGATACCTGCTTTCCGGTATCAAGCTTGGTTCCGAGCCTCGGATTCAGATCAACTTGACGTTCACATCGGGGGTTCAGAAGGGCAGGCCTTGGGCGTTGGGCTTCCTGCACCCCCCCCCCCCCCAACTTTGCTCTGCCTGTTCCCATTCACACCGGTTTCAGTCTCATGATGGCGTACATGCCTATCGTCTCCATTGCAGTTCCTTGCTTGGTTAAACAAACCATTTCTCATATCTGGGATCCATCAAAGTAATCGACCCTAACCCTTAACCTCGAACTCTCGACTGAATCCTGAACCCTAAACCTTAAAACCACCAACACCCTATTCAAAAGTTAAACCCAAAACCCTTGAACCACCAAAGCCCTTAAACCCTACCTAAACCCTAAGGGACCCTTGTAAAGGAGCCCTCAAAAGCCCTGTGACCCTAAACCCGTAGGCCGAAAAGCAGGAAGTACAACGGAGACTATGGGTGCTGTGATCTCGAAAGCCCACTGAAGCCGAAGGGCCCGTCGCATGAATCCAAAAGTCAAGCGGGTTACGATCATTTGTCAGTGCCATCGTCATGTCGCTTTCGGCGTCAACAGTCGTACCATCACAGGTCTTTGTTGGAGGAGCATACTGAATGTTAGGACGTTCGTCCTCGAGAAAGCAGCAAGCAGCAGCGAAGGCAGCAGGAAAGCTGCCTGCACATGTTCATCAGTGTCATTGCTGCCCGTTAAATTTATCCGGAACATTTACGTCGTGGATTCCAGGGGAAGGTTTGTCCATCAACATCATTGCCACCACCGTCACAATCACAATCTTCTTACCCCTCATCATTCTACTCATGGCGGTCAGCTTTCCCGAGGTTAACGGTTTCCAGCCATCCTCATCAGCATGGACAGCAACCTTCACCACCAGCACCACCAGCGCCAGAACCGCCTCCACCACCCGCCGCTGCCGGGACCGCGGCCAGTACAGTACCATCGCAGTCAACACCGCCGAATTCACTTCACTGCTGTAATTGGCATGACAAACATTTCAGATATCATCGCTGCATTGATGCACCCATCTAAGTAGTCATCATCACTATCTAACTGCCGCATCATCGTCGCCATCATCATCATCATCATCCTCATCATCATAATCATCATCATCGTCATCATCTTCATCATCGTGGCCACCATCATCGTCAACAAGATTGTCATCTTCATCACCACTACCATCATCATGGCCATCATCGTCATCATCTTCACCATCATCAGCAGCACCATCTTCAGAAGCATCAGCACCATGATCTTGGTCACAAAACACACAACTGCCAGAGCATCACCACCACCATCATCATCATCAACAACAGCATCAACATTGACGTCATCAACATGACAACGAGGATCACATTAAAGCCCTCAGCGTCAGCGACATGCAGCGTTCAGTTCCACTAATGTTCTCTGACGGATTTTCCATTTCACGGTCAAGGGTTGTCGCATCGCAAAACATGGCGTGGCCGGAAGGATTGGTGAACCCATGGAATGAAAGACTTCCGACCTGTCACGGTGAAATGTTGTCACGCCAACAAAGGCCGTGCTCTCTCCAAGCCGTCTGTAAAGTTTTCCTTAAACTTATCCGCGCAATCGACCTGATAGAAATCGACAGGTCTTGCTGAGGCTTCGTCAATCTGGTGAAGCCCATCCGTGCCACGGCAACAGCGCCATCTGATGATTAAAGCTTGTCGGGTATGCTGGTGTGCGGGTTGTAGTGCATGCAGCAAACATGGGCGCCTTGTCGAAATCCGAGAGGCTATGAAACCCTTCTTCAGAAAGATGTTCGAATCATAGGAAACTTCAACCTATTGAAAACGTAACACTTTGTACATACATAAGCACAAGCGACAGAGAGTTCAGAACAGACGCGGCAGCATGGTATGAGTTTGGACTCGAGCGTGGCGCATGTTCGTTGAAGACATCCTGCTGGAGCGACAAGTCGATCGAGTTCAAGCACAGAAGTTGGCAGCAGTAGGCGCGGACTCGAAGGTTTCGTAGGTTCTTCTTCCAGATATTTCTGGCCCGCCCAAGCGACGCTTTTCGGTTGTGTTTGGCCCTTACAAGTGCGTTTGCCGAGGCTCGGTTGAGCATGTCATGCTGCTGGATTGCTCTGCGTTTATACATCGCGGGCTTGGGTCCGAGGTGACATGTGAGCAGCGAAAACCACTTTCGGGTCGTGAAGCCCTCTACAGTTCTACAATTATGACTCAGATTCACTCCATTCGGGTCTCTGCCGTGGACTTGGCACCTCATTCACGCCTATAAAGCCTCCCCATCGACACATGCTCCCGCCCGTTCTTGATCAGATATAATTGCACTGTGGTTTGAGGCCATGCGTGATCCGCATTTCTGGCTTGACAAATATGCAAAACGGTTTGGTCTCAAACCCGTGTATGTAGCTTCACGTGCATTGCTAAGTGAAGCTAGGGGTTAAATTTCAAAACATCCGGTTCGCATGATTCCAACAGCAAAGTACGCAACGTTCACAGAATCAAGCCTATCGCCAATTGCAGCAGGAGATGTGAAGCCCGACACTACACCGCGAGCCACAAAATTGCTGAGCCCCCAACAACTTGAGTTCAAAGGCATGGAGACCCGCGCCCGCCGCAGAAGTTCTTCCGAACCAGGCTTGCGAGCCTCGGGCGCTTGGCCTGCATTACCACTGTTGTGACAGCGACCAGGCTATCTTTATTCAGAGTTGCGAGCATGTCGTCATACTTGTTCTCGTGCACCGCATCGCCATGCATCGCCAAAAATCTTCGGCGAACATTGTTACGACCTGCTCAAATGATATCACTGGTCGCCTACCTTTTGGCTTCAGATATCGGGGCGGTTCCCTGGGAGTCTCCACATGCTCGCAAACTCCGAATGCATATCGGCGAGTGGATGTTCGTGCTCATGCGCAGCTAAAGTTTGAATTCGGAGATCTAGGATGGTAGGCCTCACAACATAACGCCAAATTCCACACCTTGGAGGAGTTCTCGACCATGTTCCGCGCAACTGTTAAGCTGACATCTCGAGACGTTTGATCCTTGTGCTTGGAGTAACGTGGAGTTTGAAAAACACGTGACTGGAGTGGCAGCCCGAACGTTGCTTTGCCATCATAGACATTGGAGATAAGTGGTCATACCTCCAGCACTTCAAAGCAGGAAGCGAAAACAGGGAAAACCATTCGCAGCATGATCAGGACCCGTAGTCGTTGGGCCACAGACGTACTGGAACAGCGGGCGCAGCATTCGCGAGGGCGCCATCCAGCCGAGGTGGGCCCATGCCCAGCACAGCTGTCGACTTTGGGTTGAAGGTTTGGGGAGGAACAAACAGTGTTGCATGGTGGTCTCACTTAGAATAAGAATAAGGGTCTCAGATTGCCGGCAGTGCCGCCGCTGGTTGCTCTTAGGAGTTCTGCAAACAGTCCATGCAACAGGAATTTGCACCGACTCAGCCGCAATGACAGCAAGGCCGATTCGTGGTTCAAGTCCTGGCCACTTCTTCAGCGACCTTTGTTTCCAAATCAGCAGGGAATTTTCAAGCGGCGCCGCAAAGCCGTAGATTATAGACCCAAACCCCCAGCACCCCAACCCCTAAACCTTAAATCCCTAAACCCTAAACCTTACAAATGGTGTGACCGCCAAGGCATGCCATAAAGTGGAGCGAGTCCGAACGTGTCTTCCACAAGCCACCACCACATCCCGGCCCTGGGAACTATGACTTGAAGAGGCACCAGGAGCTAAGTAGGTTTAGGGTTTGGGGTTTAGGGTTTAGGGTGTAGCCTGCAGGGTTCAGGAATTAAGGCGGTTAAAGTTTAGGCTTAAGGGTCCATGAGGCTTTAGGTTCTAACTGCTGGCTGCTGAACTGCTGGCTGCTGATGGTACAAGGTTGCAGGGCTTCTAGTTTAAACTTGAGCCCATGGTCTCCATTGTAGTTCCTGTTTTTGGTTTAACATACTTTAGATTCAGGGTCCTGTAAGATAGCTGCAAAAAAGGCGTTATAATGGAGCCTATAGGTACGACTAGGCAACTGACGGTCTATTGTCGCAAACTGGTTAAGTGAAAGGCCTCTTCCGTTTGCCTAGCCTCCCTTGATTCAGAAAGCACCATGATACAACCTGCAAGCTTACATTCCCGGGAGGTGCCTCCAAACCCAGACGCCCAGATTACCCAAATGGTACCACTTGTAGCACTATCAATGGTAACACTACCAGTGACTAGCATTGCTACTCGTACAGAAGAGTACTCCATGCACTCGTATGTACACCTGAAAGTGCAAACCTGGTTGTTTCTGTGAACAGTAGCATCTTGTGCCCTGTAATCCTGGGATCCCAACGGGCCGACCGCCACATCCTTTGGCCATGGTGAGGACCCCAAATTCGCAATATTATAGAAGACTATTCGTGAGGGCTCCAGGGTTCCTATTCGACTTGCTGTTCAAAATTGCACTAGCATATGCTGGTTTATCTTCAGCAAGCTCTAAGCCCTTGACTATGTAAGCCCAACAACCTGCAATGCTGACAGTCATGGTTTGAGGCTTTTTTCAGGTTGCAAGTCTTCCCGACGCAGGTCCATCGGTAGCGTCTCGGCGCCGAGCTTCCCGAAGGCGCAGCGATGGGCAAGGATACCCAAGAGGCGTGGCTGAGAAGCATGTGTCATAGGCTGCATGATTTTACGCCCTAAGCCCCTACAGCCTAAACCTATTGTTGACAGAGTCTCTTCAGCAACCCCAACGGCTTCGCCGTAGTGGCATTCCGACTGTAGCAAGGAGGAGCCGAGGCTTCAAAACAGGATCTGACTTGAGGCTTGAGTCTCACACCTTGGAGCACCTTTTTGAGGTACTACCCGGGGTTTTCAGAAAGGTTTTATTTACTTGGTAATAGAGTAGGTACCCTTCAACCTGTCTGGAGTACTACAAACCCCTTATAATCCCCCCTAAACCCTAAACTCTCTAAACCCCAAAACGATCCCAAAGGTCAACCCTTAGTTTTCCGACAGTACCGGGCAACTAGTGAGAATGTTGGCTCTTCATCCTTCAGTCACTGGGCCCTCTGCCATCGGGCCAAGAAGCTGGATACAGAAACTCATACGGTTAAGGTTTACGGTTTTGGGTTTAGGGATACTATTTCTTGGGGGGGGGGGGGGGTTGCTGATTGAAGAAGCAAGGGGCCCTTGAACCCAAACCCGAGCTGGCTGCGAGCAGAAAGTTGCACCTTATCCTATAAACCTCCGGGCGCCAACTCGAACTCCGAATCGTATTGAGACACCGGTATACACTACAATTCCAGAGGGCTCCTGTAGCGTTTAGGGTCTAAGGTTTAGGGTCTATGGTCTGGGTTTTAGGGTTTAGGGTCGAGAACCCCACAAGCCCGACTAGAATCCGAAATTCCTGAACCCTTCATTGTAGGTCTCCGCTTTCTGCGAGCACGGACGGGAAGGACAAAGCCTTGAGCGGCAGGTTTTCTTGAGGGCTATCAGAACTCTGAGGCTGTAAGGAAAACCATTACTGTGGAAGAACAGCAATACTAAGATTGATGATAACATAATAGTAAGACTTAGTGGTGCACGAAGAGGACATGATAATGACAGATTCTTTCGACACTGTCGCATACCGCATGGCAGGTGTTCTTGCTTAGACCAAATTGATATTGTCATTGCTTCGGATATTCATCATGCCTTGCCACGTGCCTGTATTACTATTATTTGGAGAGCGAAAATCATATTCTCAGTACTACTAGTATGGTTGTTGTTGCTGTTGCATTATGTTGTCAATGCTTATTGCTATTATTCTTGTTGCTACTACTTTGAACTATTGTTGTCATTGCAGTTTGTTAGCATGAAGAAATATGTAGGATTTACTACTTGTTGTTCCGCATTTACGATGTCACAATCAATATTTGTTATTAATGTTTTGCTTTGATTCGTTGTTTCTTACTTCTTACTTCTATTTGTTTGTGGGGTGTGGATTACTAAGATTGTGTTTACACAAGCACTATTTAATGCTTGCAATCATTTGTATTGCTATTAATACAGTTATCATCATCACGATGATTAGTGATAGTGCTACTACTGTTTTTTACACTACGTTTATTGTTTTGTGTTTTTCGGCATCAGAAGTACTAATTGTTAATCTTATCTTAATCACTGTGATTATTGCTGCCACTGCTAGTATGAATACTGTTATTCGTTTCATATTTGATACTGATCTTGTTATTATTTTATTAACATTGCCGTTATCACCATCATCAGCAACATCAGTCAATCCATCCACCCATCCATCTATCCGTCAATAACCAGTCAGTCAGTCAATGAATCATCACCAATCTCGCCTTCATGAACATTATCATGTTCATCCTTGCGTAGTTGCAGTCGCCGTCGTCGTCTTCACTGTTGTCGACAAAGAATGGTCTTCTACTACTTCTACTACTACTACGACGACGACGACTACGACGACTACTACTACGACGACGACTACTACTACTACTACTACACGCGAGTGTGGCGGTCACTGGTCGTTGCCGCCAGTTAAATTTTATTATATTTTCTATCATATCATATTATATATACATATTGCTACTTATATGTAATAAATAAATAAATAAATGAATATATATATATATATATGGTACGCCCCCCCATGGATCTACCGTTTTCGTGCGTTGGGTGCCTCCCCACCACACGAAAACAGTACATCCTTGAGGGGAGGGGCCCCGCACCAATCGAAAACTGTAGATCCATATATATATATATACACATTATTAATATTATTATTGCTATTATGTCATTTTTATCCGGTGCTAGGAGATAATAAATTTACGTGTTTTTGAAAGCCCGGTACTAAACCCACCCCAAAATGCACCTCGTACATTGTTTGGGGCCCGCGACAATTGTTACAAACATTGTTTTTAATTTTTTAAAACATTCAAATGTTTCGACAATTGATTGAAACATTGTTTAAATTGTGTTGTTAAATATTGCGAATATTGTTTCAGACATTGTTCATATTGTTTGAAATGTTCCTCAAATGATTCAACAGGTGCTTGGAAAGCTCATTCTGATCATTATGTCTCTGATTACCGCCACCTATCTGGCACCACGTTCATCTGTCAATGAATGTACTGTTGTAATTGCAATGCACCACGCTATATGACAGTTTTTTGTTTCCTTTTGTTTATTATACATGTTCAGCCAGGTGATTAGTTTTGCAGCAAGTGTTTAGTTTCATAATTTCGGAAATCGCAGTAACGGCTTTCATCGACAGGGCAAGCCCGGGCCAAACCCTTGCCAGGACACAAAGAATCCAGCGGTAGACAACGGCAGCTCTACGGTCGGCACGTTGCCAAGGCGAAAGACGTCGGTGTTCAAAGACAGGGGTCCTGGTGTACAGACTGTCCTTTTTTCGCTGGAGCATAGTTGGACATGAGAAATATTAATAGTAATAATATTAGTACTACTAATAGTAGTCATAACAATAATAATAATAACAATAATAACAATAATAATAATAGTAATATGCAGACCATGCAGCGAAGCATCTTTCATCAGCTGGGACGGGTGGGGCGGATCAAGGTTTGGATTTTATGGATGGCGGGATGTCGATACAGGGCATCGTTGGCACTGAGTTGTTCCCTGTCCTAGGAGGTAGCCGTGCCCCGCAGAACCAAAAACATCTAATTTGCTGCATTACCGTCAGTTTCGGATCCCTTCTCGTAGGGCACCTTCCCAGAAGCCTTACTTCTTTGAAAAGAGCAGCAGTCCTCTGGTTTCGAGGCCGTGTTCCAATCCTGGGGATGTACCGTACGTCCCTCCGCCGACACATGCACAAACCTGCGATGCTGACATCCGTGACTGTCGCCTGGAACGACCGGGACGGAAGTGTGTGTATGTGTGTGCGTCGTGGAATTGTTTCCACATACCCATCTCCGACTCATACGCATGTGTGACACAGGCCATCGTCATACAATTACAAGCCAGCTTCGAAACATAGTTGCAAGAAGGAGACCAGAATCTCCAATAGTAATTATACTCCATTCCTGTTCAGATCCTGCCAGACTGCCGAAAACCGAATGCGAGCTTTCTGCAAGGACACTCCGACCCTGGCAAATCGACCGCGAGGAGAGTCCAGGCATGAAAGGGTTTAGGGTTTGGGGTTTTGGGGCCATCGAGTTTGGAGTTTTGAATTTAGGGTCTAAGTCGGGACATCTCTTTGTTTTCAGCTACGTGGGCTCACTTCGGGGATGTGTATGGCAACATCAGAGCCACAACCGTAAAGCCCCTGAACCCCCAAATCCCTAAACCCTAAACCCCCTAAACCCTAAACCAGAAAGTCAAGAAACCTACTTTCCGCCTGATGATAGCTGACCGTAAGCCAGTTCATTGGTTCCACAACGTCTTCGGCATGCCTGAACCCTAAAAAACCCTAAAGCCCTAAACCCTAAAACCCCAAAGCCCTAAACCCTAAAACCCCAAAGCCCTAGAACCTAAAACCCCAAAGCCCTCAAACCTAAAGAAGATTTTGCAAGCATCGCTTAGATCAGAGTCTCGGGTTGAGTTGAAGGCTTCAGGCTTGAGGGTTTAGGGGTTTAGGGTTGAGGCTGTAAGGTTCAGGGTTTCTGGCTTCGGGAGTGGGATTGAGGGTTTAGGGTTCGAGGTGTCCAACTTTATATACTTATCATCTCATATTCAGGAACCCTAAGCCCGAAGCCCTAAGTTCGCACAGCCTCACTCACACAAAGCTTCAGACCCAAGGCCCCGAAGCATGCAGGTGTTTGGTTCATATACTGTGGTACGGTTCCTGCTCCTCCTCCTCCTCCTCCTCGTCTTCCT